GATCCATCCACACCTTCAAGGGTGAGGTTGATAGATTTTTGGTAGGTCAGGGTATTAAGGGATATGGGGAGAAAGCGGGAAATTGGAATTGACAGGTTTATTGAACTACAGATCAGCCATGATCTAATTAAATGGCGGCACAAGCTCGAAGGGCTGAATGGCCTCCTCCTGTTCCTACTTTCCTAAATCTGGACCTTGGTGAAATTAATATTTATTATTATGATTATAAATTTCTCCCCACTTATGAGGTGTCAGTAATATGACAATTATATGACCAGGGTTAGGAAGTGTCAAGCGTGTATTTGCAATCTGATATTACATTTTTTTTCTCTTTGCTTTAGTATTTTTTCCCCGTTGGCTGCAAGTTTTCTTCCACCACATCCTGATTGCTTTTCGTGATCTTTTTCTGAAACAAAGTGCTCCACTCAGGAGTATTTTCTTGCCTATCAGGTGTCTGACTATAAAAAGAACAGAAACCACCTCGCTTCAGGCACAGCCTTTATTGCTGTGCATCTCAAAAGAACTATACTGCATTGTGACAAACAGAGGGGGAGGTTGGAATTGTTTCAGAGATTTACATCATCCCAGCGTGTTTTGCTTCCTTAACCATGTCTCAAATATGCTTTTTGTGATGATGGCACCAACTAAATAAATCCATCCCTGTATTTCAGTTTTCAAGTGACGTCTCTAAGATTTCTAGCCTTCGAGACGTCTCAGTTCTTGACAGTGCAAGCAGTTATCTAGGTAATTATTCGTGATTAATCTTCAATATGCTACCACACTTTACATTTAATAATCATGGATTCTAACCTGATGACTGAAATAGAATGATCGTACATTAAACCAATTCCAGACTTATTATTGCAAAAGGCATGCTATGCTGTATGTGTTCCCACCTCAGACTTAAAAGGGAGAGGGATAGTTTATGCTTAAAGTGCACTGGAAACAAAGGTGACAGCCTGTAGCTATATTCTGCCCAATAACCTTGAAATGGAGACTGATCAGAAGCCATAATGGACGCCTAAGTCCATGTAATTCCATGGAAACTGCTATCAAAGTCTTAATATGTACTTTAATCTCTTTCCTAGTCTGGTAAAGTGTGAGAACGTAATTCAATCCTAAACTCTTGTAACCTTATTACGTGCAAGAGCGTTAACAAAGGAGAATGGCGAAATAACAATCGTGTCAGAACTCTAACGTGAGCCTGGTTTTTGCTGCACGACTTTTTCATATTAAGCTACAATTAATAATTCATTAGATTATGCATTAATACTAGCACTTGACATATTTGAAGCTATCTGCATGACATGACTAGACACTAATTAAATATTGATGCATTTTGAAATTCATTATATCCAAATTTTATTCTTTGCATTGCATGTGTTTGCAATCCAACAATGTTAAAAAGTTTAATATTAGATCTACAGTATTTTACCCACATAACACACACAGTCACACCACTTTACAGTATATCCTCTGAAGTGCTTTGAGACGTCTTGACGACATGATAAGGTGCTATATCAAATGTAAGGAGTTTATTATATTATTTATGGGGGCACCGATATTGTTCTTTTTCAATACTATGTTATTGAAGTGGCAGTAAAACCGATACTGGAAATGGTACGTCAATCCTTTATGTACTATTCTCTCTGCTAGTCAGTAGTCAGAGACATAATCAGAGTTATCAGGAGTTAGGTAACCTATGGACACAAGTACAGTATTTGGCTCTTTTGTCCAGTGGATAGATCCCATCCCTGATAACAAATGAACGAACAGGCTGGTATTCATGAGGGTGGAGCCAGCAAATACAAGGCAAGCTTCTGCCATGATAACATGCAATAGAATTTTGTCCTGTCGCCATCACAGTAAACCTCCCAGCTGACCAAAAGAAAATAGTGAAATCGTTAGATGCCAAAAGTTGACAGAAACTATATATTTATAAACAACATTTTCAAAACAATAAAGTATTCCTAATACTGATGTAAAAGTTGAAAGCGCAACAACTAACTTGCATTTGTATAATAATAATCCTTGCATTTGAGACAGCGCCTTATCACATCTACGAGATGTCTCAAAGCTCTTCACAGAATATACTGTAAAAGTGTAGTGACTATATTTTGTGGCAGCCAATTACATACAGCAGTGACCCACAAACAGTCATGGATTGAGATGACCACTATTTTTTTNGAAGGAATTATTACCCCTGGAAAAGCAATCCGTCAACCGACTAATAACCGGGTTCTTACTTATTGCTAGGTAAACAGAAGCGTGTAGAGTAAGGAAACTTGCTTAAGGTTTCGTCCTGCTGGGAATCAAACTCAGGTTTCTCCCTTGCGAGGAAAATGCTCTAATCACTGAGCTACAGGACTCCTTTACGTAGAATAACATCTCAGAGCCCTTTACAACGGTAGTGCAGATGCCGAGGAAGGGCGAGAGAGAAGAAAGTAGAAAAGGTAGGTCTTGAGGTGGGACTTGAAGACAGATAGAAAGAGAGTGAGATGGGGGTGAAGCAGTTTGAGGGAGGAAGTTCTAGTTCCACAATAAAGTTCTTATCCCATTCACACAATCCTATTGTGATCATTTCTCCTGTTGTCAACTGCTCAAACACACATTAGTTGTCTATTAGTGTCCGTAGAAATGTGATCCTTATTCCACACACAATTCATTCAATTTCTGGCAGCTTTCATAAAAACACAAAAAGTTGCAGAGAAGCTAGAACCAGAGACATAAAATCAGGTTTGGCCCATGAGAGGGTGGAGGGGGGCGGTGGAGGAGAGAGATAAAAAGCTGGCAGGTAATTTGTGTGTTTTACTATAAGCAACATACTTGTCATGGATTATGGTTATAAAACTGTTAAGTGATGTTGTGAATACAATATAAGTCCTGCTTTCATCCAAAAAATTATGGTTTTGCCTCTTTCAAAGCAATGTGGCAGCAGGGGAAGACTTCCTATATATATCCATAACATTTATTTAACTAGAGATACAGGGCAAACTATACCTAACAACGTGAATCAAGTGGTTTAGATATGTTTTTGCCACCACAATATTTAATGTGGATCATTGAAAATATTGTATGATTAGTTTCTTTTGACCACAGCGCCACCTACTGTATTTTAACAGCATTAAACAAAAATTGTCACTTGGAAAGGTTGGAGAAAATGTATTTTTTGGTGTAACATGGGGCAAAAATTGCATCTAACCTTAGCATTGTAGGACCATTTTGTCTTAAAATGCAACATCATGCAGAACAGTGGAAAATTCCATTTTAATTTGGAAGCCATTTAATTTTCAGATCTGCCGAAAGGCGGCTTCTGATGAGGACTGAATTTAACAATTTTCTACAATTGTGCGCAATCTCACATTTTTTAGTTTTAAAGGATAAGAGTGGGTGGAATTTCATTCAGGTCTCACATCTCTATTGAGATGCAAGACCACTGTACTCCTTTTTATTCCTTTCTACCTTGAAAACTTAAAGCCAGAGACGTCGGTGCCGATTGGTAACAAAAATTGTTTCTACAGAAGGTGAAGCCTATCAAGAACTTGCATCAAAGTGTGTAAGTGAAAACACGTAAGGGGACACAAAACAGCAGAAATGCACCACAGATAGTTATAGTACTTATCTGATGTAGCACTTTATCAGACTGTCAAAACTTCTCAAAGCATTTCAAAGGATTTTCTGTAAAAGTGAATGTGACTGTATATTTGTAAGCAAATGCAGCAGAACAATTTTTAGAATACAGTAATCTTTAATACAAATCCATATTTGAAAGGAAGGAGCATATCAATAAGTGTTTGAATTCCTAGAGGGTATGAAAGATCTCTCTTCACAGATAAAGATTCAAGGAATCATTGTTGCAGCAAGCCAGAAATATTTTACTCTTTTTATTCCATTACCCCTTAGGTCAAATAGGTGCTTTACAATGTTGAAACATTTCAGTGTTTCACACCGTCAGCTTCTTTGATTGTTCTTACATAGGCAATCCACAATCCACACTTAATCCACATTAGCAGTGTCCCACAAATACCAATGTGGTCAATGGCCAATTCAAGCTTTTAGGTAAATTGAAGAAGGAAATGGAACTTCGGATGACCTGATTTTCTCCTTTGGGTGAAGGTTGAATCCCAATGCATTTCCAGAAATAAAAATAGTAACTTGCATTTATATGGTTACATTTCACTTTTATATAAAAATGAGAAGACAGGCGCATAAGTGCAAACTAAGAAGAGAAAATTCCTCAAGGGACACAATGATTTATGTACAGGAACATTTGCCTGCAGAAGGATAGAGGCGAGGTAAAGATGTTGAATACTCAATAGTTGTGGCTTGCATTCCTGTAGCTTGTATGCCCCATGGAGACATCCCCCAGGAGGTAAGAGTGGGTGCGGTGAAGTCAACACGATAGGATTTGCACGGTCTGTAAAAAAGACACTGGGAACCTGTTTAGGATGACACGGGGAGGGAGGGTAAAAATTCCACTCAGCAACAACAACAAATTACATTGGTACAGCACCTTTCACGTTGGGAGGACGTCCCCGAGGGCTGGACAGTCAGGGGTTTGGACCCGAGCTGGAGGTTGGCATCAGGAGGGGTGGAGAGTAGGGGAAGCATAGAAAAACCGGAGGAGGCCATTCAGCCCTCGAGCCTGTTCCACCATTCTATGGGATCACGGCTGATCTGTACCTCAAGTCCAATTGTCCACCCTTTCCCCATATCCCTTAATCCCCTGACCCAACAATAGCTATCTATCTCCGTCTTGGAAGACGTGAATGGATCGAGTCATAGACCACCGCCTTTTTGGGGAGAGAGTTCCAGATTATGTGTTTTTGACTTTGGCGATGTTGGCCATTCCTCACATCCCCCGAATCTTCCCGTATTCCCCACATCCCCATCATTTCCCCCCCCCCCCCTCCACCCCCACCGACGCCCTATTCTCTCTCCAGTGCTGACCGGTGGTGGCGCTGCTGCTGTGCTGTACAGCTCCGCCAGGCGGCGCCGCGGCCGGGAGGCCAGAGGAGTTTGCGGGTGGGAGGCGAGGTGACGGCGGGTGGCAGGCAGTGAGCGGAGCCGAGACGCGGGGGGAGCCAAGATGCCGCTGGAGAACCTGGAGGAAGAGGGCCTGCCCAAGAACCCGAGCCTGAGCATCGCGCAGAGCAGGTTCCTGCTGACGTTAGACGGACACCGGCGCGATGAGGTGCTGCGGGGCGAGCTGATGGACGCCGTGAGGGACAACAGTGAGTGCGGGGCCGGATCTGCAGAGTCACGGGAGGCCCCGGCTCTCGGCTGCGCTGGCGGGCCCGGGCCTAGCGGGCAGGCCGCGGGGCCCGGAGCTACTCCGACCCCCGCCCTTTTCTCCTGGTCACAGCCCGGCGGCCTTTACCTGAACACGAGGCGGTTCAGGGAGGGATGAGTTCTCTCCCCTCCCGACTCCCCACCTGAATCCAGAGCAGTTCAGAGTTTTGTTTTAAAAACATAAATATATATATTTTAATTTGCATATTTTTTAAATAAAAAAACCGCCCGAGTGGGAGAGTGAAAGGGGACTCCCTCAGCAGATGAAGGAGGAATTCCCCATCTGGTCACCTCTCTCTCTCTCTCTCTCTCCTGGAAAAGAGAAGGGATTATCTCTCTCTCTCTCCAGCAGCAGTGTCCTGGTCAACATCAGCTTTGGGACTATGTTGGGTGGGTTTGGGGACATCAACACGTCCATATCTAGTGCTTCTGGGTCATTCATATTAAATACTTAAGGAATTTCAAAATTTAGAATGCAAGTTAGATCCCCTTATTTCTTACAAAAGGAAACTTGATCTCAGCCTGCTTGCTCAGATTTGCATGGGTGTTTGGTCGTTTTGAACTAAAAATTAGTTCTTCAATGGGAATTTGTAAAATGTATCAGGTAATGCAGATTAACTCAGCATAAAATGGGTATCAGGAACCTTGATTATCTCAGTGCCACGTTACTGCATTCATTTACTGAATCAAGGGGGGTTAAGGGGAGAGAGAGAGAGACTGGCTGTGTTTTTATAATCTCTTGTAATTGTGTATTTTCTGTGAAGGATGAGGATGAAGAGTTTCTGTTCCTTAAAACCCAATGGTTTGTTTTACAGACATGGCACCATACTACGAAGAGCTATGTAAAGATCTAGGATGGTCAGTTGACACAGATCTCCTGACAAAAATGAAAAAGGCAAATGAGGAAGAACTAAAACGTCTGGATGACATACTAAAAGATGCAGAAAAGAACCTCGGGGAGAGTGAAATCAGAGACTCCATGATGGCCAAGGCTGAATATCTATGCAGAATTGGTGACAAAGTAAGAATAATTTGCAATGTGCTGCATATTATCCATCCAGTTTCCAATTGTATAATTAGGCAGTGTCAGAAAAAAATAAAATGGGTATATCTTTAGGTTACCACACTGCAATCTACAAGAGCAACATCTCACTGCAGGTTACTCATCCTAGAGGCAATGGTTAGTCTCTTATCAAGTAATTGAGGCAAGGGCACATGTTATACCAGCTATGCCCAAGTTAGTTTATTGACTTAACTTAACTGTTAAACTGCCTGCAGCCTCTTGTCTCTATGAGCTGACTGGTTCTGTGGATCTTTAGCTCACTCACTGGGATATTGAAAAGTAGAATAATGACAAGTCACCTCCGAAAACAAGTATCAGAAAACAGATTGTTTCAAATTTTAATTTCACTCATTCCAGCAATTTATCCTGTGCAGATACCTAGTTCTGTTCCCACCAAAATATTAGCTATAATTTATTTTACAATGTGGGCTTATACCTTTTATTTTGCCTCACTCTTGAAGTTTAATTTGATTGATGGATGACAAAAATAGAAGGAGCTATGATAACTTGTTCTCAAAGAATCAGATATGTGTAGGAGCTGGATAACAGCCACTAAAGTAATGGCTTGGTCATCCTTGCACAGGAGCCAGATTTGTTTGGGTTCAATCCAAGTGAATAACTGATGCAAAACTGATGAAGTCTGCCACTTTTTATTAAAATAACTGTACATTTACTTCAAATTAGTTAATTGAACCATTCTTTACTTCTAATATTAAAGGAATCAATTTACAGTAATAGTTCTGACAGAAAATGTAAAATGTGTCAAGCTCAGTGATGAATTGATACATGTACACTTTTGAATCTTTTGTGTTTGCAGTATTCTGTTTGTGCCAGCATATTAAAATAACATTATTTTTAAAGGAAGGTGCTTTAACTGCCTTTCGGAAAACGTATGACAAAACTGTGGCTCTGGGACATCGCCTAGACATTGTCTTTTATCTGCTGAGAATTGGCTTGTTTTACATGGATAATGATCTTATCACACGTAACATTGAGAAGGCTAAAAGGTATTGTAACATTTCTTTTGGTGGTGTTTGTATATTGTATTTTAAATTATGCGCATTGTTTCGCCTTCCCACATTCTACTCAAAGGCTATATTACTTGCTAAGTGAACTGACCCTTCATAAAAGCTTTTCTGTCGGTAGCCTCCATTTGCCTAATTAAGGAAATATTTTGTTCTCTGCTGAAATGATTGTACAATATACAGTACTATCCAAAACCAGCAGTGTATGCTGCTGATGTCTGTTTTGGCCTGTGTGAGTCTGTTGTGGGACCTCTTGTTTAATATTTTTACAAATGATAGCTAGTTTGGGACACATGTGCATTCGACTGCCAGGAAGGTGGAAGGCAAACTAGATGGACCTTGGTCTTTTTTCGTCTAGCATTTCTTATGTGTAACTAAATGTTGAAAATTTAATGCAGAACATTCATTCAGTTGCCCAGACATAGACAAAACATCAGGGGCATTGTTGGAAATCTAACTGTTTGTGTGTGCTTCAATCACAGCTGCTGATATTCAGCATGCAAGAGGTGTGGGGGGGGAAGGGGTTACAGCTTTTGCATTAAACCATGCAAGAGAGATGCTGAAAGTGGCTTCCTATCCTTCAATAAGATACAGAAAAAAGGATGTCACCATGGGCTGCTTTTGAAACCCCTGTAGCAATGAAAAACAAAACAGAATAGGCAGCAGATTCTAAAACTCTACCGAGGTACCAAAAATATTCAGTGGTCTTCTAATATTAAGTACATTTGGTTTTGACAGTCCGACATACTACATGGTTTCTCTTGCAGCTTAATCGAAGAAGGCGGTGACTGGGATAGAAGGAATCGTCTCAAAGTTTATCAGGGGATGTACTGTGTGGCAATTAGAGACTTCAAGCAGGCTGCTGAGCTGTTCTTAGACACTGTCTCTACTTTTACTTCCTATGAACTCATGGATTATAAAACCTTTGTAACTTACACTGTTTATGTCAGCATGATTGCACTGGAGCGACCTGACCTTCGTGAAAAGGTAAGAAACATAATTCTGGAGTGCAGATGTCTGGCACTAGTTCTAATCTAAATGACAGATTTGTGGATTTGTTCCATCTATGGCTGTAGTCTTCTAGGTAATATACAGTCAGGATTCCCTTAATACATTCAGACTTGGTGATCAGTCTAACTTCTGCTTGAGGTTGGAGAGACTTGTATACTTGTTCATGTCGCACAACTTTCTATTATACCATATAGGATTTTCAATGAGGAGGATTAATTGCCTTTCAAGAGAAGCACAGGTTGTAAAGCACTGCTCTTTTAAGTCCTCAAACCCAACTGTAGACAATCACCCATCATAAGATGTGCTTAACAAGTGTTTGTTGATGGTATTAATTATTTGCAGCAGGCATTTTCCTCTTTGACTGCATCTTTGATCATATTTCTCTCCCCGACTCCCCCCAATCCCTCCTGAATCCCACCCCCAGCAGCTTGGATGCAAACCCTTGATTGCCCAGTGTCCTCTTCGACCCACTATATGAATGTAGTCTGTTGTTTTAATCCTTGCAACCTATTCCTCCTATCTTCCAGTGTAAAGGTTTGTTTTGTTTGTCTTGCTGCTTGAGTTAGAAGGGTTGGCTTTAAAATTCTCATCCAGACGATCTGCAGGTGACGAGTATAATGCACTGTAATAGATTGAACAATATTGAGTTATAGTCCACTGACCTGAAATTTATGGAGGGTATTACAGGTGCATGTATATCTCACGTGAAATACAAAGCTAATCTAAAGCACAGGAAGTAGGAAAATCATTTTGGAATTAAGATTTCTGATGCTAGATCTGGAAGAAAATTTAGTAATTGGAATTGATTCCTTGTTAGTTATGAGTTGAATGTTAATTATTTTTATGTTGCATTAATTTTCTTTCTTCCCCATCTCATGGTGTGGAGAATGGGTTTGGATTGGATAGTGCCTTATCACGTCTTCGAGACGTCTCAAAGTGCTTCACAGAATATACTGTAAAGTGTAGTGACTATATTTTGTGGGTGAAATAGATAGTTCCAGTTAGATCCAAATGGCCTCTTTCAAGACTGTAAGCATCCTATAGTCCCTCTTGAAGGAATTAGCGTGCTGTCTATTGGAGCAATTCATTTTGCTACAACACTTTACTTGATTGTAGCAGCTCTTAGTATTTTTAATCACATTTCCCTTCCTGTTTTCTATATTCCTTAAAGCCCTTGTTCTCCAAGTATCTATTTGTCTGCCTTTTAAACACCTCAATTAATTCTGCAAATGTAACAAAGCACATATGGGTGCGAGAGGGATGCCTGATCCAGTCTGCTCCAGTGCTTGTTTGAGGAAATAAATGACAAACACGGTTCATACACAAATATATTTTAAGAGCCATTTAGAAGAGTGATTGACATTTGACTAACTGCAGAGTTAATTTCACTGTTTAAAGTGATGAAAGAAGTGATGAACTCAGCTTCCAAACAGCTTTCATAAGGGATACTATACTTATTTTTCTTCCTCTGGGAGTCCCTGGTGTTGAAGCAATTTTTTCAACTTTGAAGTATACATTTTTGCTACTCTTTAGTGTTCAGTTTTTGGAGTTTATATCAATATATTTTGGTATGACTTTGAGATTTCAGTATATTCTATGAACTACACGACCAGTGTTGGAATATCAATAGATTGAGAAGTTGAAAATAGCACTATGATGTGGTATATTTCCTTTTAATGTACCCTAACATTTTTTGCGTATTAAACGGTTATAAATTTGAGATAGTTAGTGATTGATTAAACAGGTTATATTCCAATCCCCCAGGATTTTTTCATGACAGATATGGTCTCTTACATCTCCGAGAATGATACCATCTGAAGGATTGTTAGGCATGTTTTATAGACTCCACTCAACTAGATGAGAAGTCAGGTTAATATAAAATTACTTTGGATCAAATGATATTTTAAATACATTTTTGGATGTATGCTCAAGTTCTTTTTGATCCACTGCCTAACGTTAAGTCTGTTATATATTTAATATAAATGTTTTAGATTTGAATCATTCCCAATAATTGGTATCGTCATTCTATGAACACTACCTTGTGACCTCAAGTATTAAGGGGGAAAAAAGCAACCTGGTTTACTGAACCTCGGCTACTGGGGTACCTAAATAAGTGAAACTTTTGAATAAGTCCCCGACAATTCCAGTGTTTAAAATATGCATCATTTGTTTAAACTTTTGGGGGGATTTTTCTCAATACAAAAGAAAGGATTTTGTCTGTAATTTTGCAAGAGTGCTAACAGAATTTTTTTAATGTAAATCTAGGTTATCAAAGGTGCAGAGATTCTTGAAGTACTGCATAGTCTTCCATCAGTCCGGCAATACCTGTTTTCACTGTATGAGTGTCGTTACGGTGTTTTCTTCCAGTCTCTTGGTCAGTATCTGTTTATTTAATGTTTTCATTCATCTCTTGCTGTCATCATTAGAAATAATTTAAAAGCTAAAGATACACAAGAGATGTGATTCTGAAATGACTTCAAATTCTGATTTTTGAGAAAAAACATTAACGAGTATCTGTTATTTGTTTTTTTTCTCTAGCAACTGTGGAACAGGATTTAAAAAAAGATTGGCTTTTTGCTGCTCACTATCGCTACTATGTACGTGAAATGAGAATTTTAGCATATAGCCAGTTGCTGGAGTCTTATCGTTCATTAACACTTACTTACATGGCGGAGGCCTTTGGTGTCAGCGTTGAGTTCATTGACCAGTAAGTCACTTTTCACCTCCTTGTGGTGCAATAGCACTCTTGAGATGCTACCTGTGTGAAGGATGCTACCTGTGTGAAGGATGCTACAAGTTGTTGTTGCACGTGTTCAGAAGCACTTTGAGAAATTGTGAGTTTTTAAATGTGTGAAACCATACTAAACCCAACTTGTTTATTCTATATCTTCTATCTTCTCAAATGTACAAGCTGGAATCGCAGGTAAATCAGACCATCTGTATTATCAAGCTGCTAGTTAGTGATATGTACTTGTCTGCCCTTACACATCCATTTTCTAACAATATAGGCACATGACGTTTTGGTGGAGGCAGTTAATCAAGTTGTAGTGATTCAAACCAACCCGTATTTAGAACAGTTCTAAACATTTTAGGAATTGATGGATTCCATTTAATAGGTGCGGAAACATCTTTGTGATGACTTGGTTGGAATATTATTATGAATTTCTTCACACTCACTTTACATTGGTAATGCCCAGCTCTGACTTCATGTTTCATCTGCTCCTGTCATGGGGCATTTTCAGCTAATTGCTGCTGTTAATTGATTCATCTCAACCTGCTGGTATTTAGTTAGTATTTGAAATCCAGAAAAAGAACTTGGTGATATATCAGCAAAGAAGTGTTTTTGATGAGGCAGATTGTGTAATCATTTTTGGTAATAAAGTAAAGTACCAGGTTATTCTACATTCTGGCTGTTGACCTTCATCTTGTGCTTTAATCTCTCTGAGTTCATCAGGTTCTCGGGCTGTTCCTCGATGTGGTGCCACCTAGCTCCAAAGGGTTCACTTGTCATCTTGAGATCCTCCTAAAGCTGTTCTGACCTTATGGGGGATATGGACATGCTGATAGAATCTCAACGGTCCAGGCAGAATATCAGCTGACACCCCTGCTCTGGCTGATGTACATAGCTAGAAGCAGTCATGGAATTATCAAGGTGGATTTAAATCTTTCTTCTCAAGGAAGCTTTTCCAGTAAAGCATTGGTTTATGCTTAAGGTCCTTGACCCACATAGAACTTACTCTGAGAAATCAATGAGATAGCTTCCTTGTTTCTACCCCAAATTAGAACCATCGTGAAAGATTTGACTCAACATCAACAGATTTGACTTCATGCAATTGTAGAAGAGACCAATGTTTGCATGATATGTATTAATTTTTACTTAGTAAAATTGTTTGAAATTGTTTTGCAGGGAACTCTCACGTTTCATTGCTGCTGGCAGACTACATTGTAAAATAGATAAAGTGAATGAAATAGTAGAAACCAACAGGTATGTAAATGAGAAAATAGAACTCCACAACTGCTTTAAATGTTAGATTGTCTTGCTGTTAGTGCGATGAATTGTTTCAGTAATCTTGGCGGTTCCATAAGGGAGTTAACCAACTTTATACTGTGTCCGTTGAATGACTTATTTTACCTTAAGCACATCAATACTTCAGGTAAAATAAGTGCACCAAAACCTACTGCTTAGGTGGTGCACTTCATATACATCTTTACTATTCTAATTTTCATTTGTTAGTTTGTAATTTTGGCATTCATTGTTGCAGGCCTGACAGTAAGAACTGGCAGTACCAGGAGACCATAAAGAAAGGAGATCTGCTGCTGAACAGAGTCCAAAAACTGTCGAGAGTAATAAATATGTAATCTGTTTAAAGGGTGTTATAAAATGGCCCCCGTGTACACAATGGCCATATAGGTTTTGGATTGTTCTAGTTATTTCTTCAAACTTGACCTTCAATATTTTACAAATCATGGGTTTAGTTTGTGGCATTGTTCTTAAACCTTTATGTACATGTAGTCCAAACTTTTCCAGTTTACTACACAGTGTAAACAATTTGAGAAAATGTATATAATAAATGCCTAGAGCAATTTCAAAATTGTGGTTGGTGTACTTTTAAAGGAGGTTCTGTACTTTTAGTTACCATTCATTACTGCAAAGATTGTGCACACTGACATTGTCTACTGCCAATTGTGTGGATCCCACAGTCCCTTTACCTCGCTTCCTCCCTTGCCTCCTTCAAGGCCGGTCGCAAGACCCTCCTCTTCGATCGTGCCTTCGGTCACCCTCCCATCTCTCTGCCTTCCCTCACCCCAACCCCACCCCTCCCCTATGCTCGTGTCCTGAACCCTGACTGTCCAGCGCCCTGGGACGTCCTCCCGACGTGAAAGGCGGTCTATAAATGTAATTTTGTTTTTGTTGTTGCCTAGGTTTTGGTGCACTTCATATACATGGAAAAGAATCAATTGTTGCAGCAGTTCCAGTAAGAATAATAAGTTGCAATTATATAGTGCCCCTCACGCATGGTAGCGTCCCAGAGCTCTTGATAACGAGCAAGGGGGCAAGGGAGTGACCATCAGCACGGTCAAAAAGGAAAGCCTTTAGGCGGGATTTGAAGGTGGGGCACAATTATCTTTATTCTGATTTGACATTGGATGGCACTAAATACAAAATAAAGAAATGTAACTACTTTAGTAATGTCTGGATAGTTCAGACGATGCTCTATTCAGTACACAAGGTTGATGATTAATGATAATGTTGGTTTTCAATCATTTCAAAGAGATGAGGGAGGTTGATTTTAGTGTGGATAGATGTTAGAATTGAAAAAAGAGTTAGTGATAGATCTAGAAAACCTATGAAAGTACTCTTTGTCGGAGCATGACTGGTATCCAGCATTTGAGGCCAGAGAAATTGCATAATTTTATATAGATTATGTGCAGTTAGTGAATAATACACTAAATTACAGAAAGTGTTTAGTTAAAGATAAAAATGTTTGTGTGAATTGAAGTCGGCAATATTGTTACTTTAGTTTAATTATACCTTTTGTGTGTTTTTCTTTTGAAATCCCTAAAAGCTTTTTGGTAATTAGAGAAAATAATTTTACAGAAAAGTACAATTTGAGGGGTACCTCATGTAATTGTTTTCTATATTGCCTTCTGTGAACAAATATTACACTTCTATTTAAGTTAATGAAAACAGTGCAACCCTTGTATTTGTTCACTAAAAAAAGTGTAACATTGTTTTGAACTTGACAAAAAGAGCATTAAAAACTTCTGTGGAACTTGACTAAGATAGTATTGAACTTCTGTTCAACTCATCCTTCAATGGAGTTTTCTACTTGAAACCAACATTCGTATTAAAATCTAAAATTTTTAATGCAAGCATGAAACATGCATTTGATTTTTTTAAAAATCAAGCTCCACATACAGTATAATTATATGAATACTGAGAAAGTGCTTTCCTCTACACCAAGTACCTACAAGATATTCTCTTTAGATCAGGAGGATTTGTTCAAATTTTGGTTGAATTATGAGAAAATGGTTTGAGAAGAATTTCAAGAATGGATAGATTATATATTGGGGTTCAAGTCACATCCAAAGTGAAGGTGTAGTCATAATAAACTGATCAAATAGTCCTGCCACCAATTATCATTATCTGAATTATTCCAGTCACCATTCAGGAGGGAATAGCACTAATGTACACTGACCTGTGGAGGGAAAGGAAACAAGGAAACAGGCACATTGAACATTTTGTTTCACAACCTCCTGAAGAAATTAACTTCTTGTGGTTGCACTGGACAGTAAGCAATTTTGTGGCACTTACCTGCAAGCATCAAAGTTCAAGCGATAACAAAATACAATTTCCTGAACTCTTGAATCCAGTAAAGTAACAAATCTATACAAGTTAAAACTGATGTATTAGACGGTTCAGGTTAGTGCACTCACTTACTTCGATTTAAATGAAATCCAATTGAATAAGTGTATAATTCTGTCCTAAATTGTAAGCAAATAAGCAAAGACTAAGTTTGTTATAAATAACAGTATAAATTATTTTATTTACAGAACTTGTTACAAAACAAATAGACTATACATTTTCAAATACCGAAAGATTCTGACCCATGACATTTGTTCATGAATTATACAGCAGCCAACACAAAGTCCAGCTGATACCATAGTGATCAGGTGCGCTTGATTATGTATACAACTTCTCAAACTATTCACACTTTACACAGGAGGTTGCTTTTAGAACCAAGCTCACATAAATGAGCAGAAGTAAGATGCGCTCAGGCTTACATTCGCATTTGAGATGTGTAGTGTTAAACAATTCACTTTTAAGTCTCTATTGCTTTTTTGTTTACAACTGTTATTCTTTAACAGATAAACCACCAAAATTTCTACTTGACCGGGCTGAGTACAAGGATACTTTTCCAATATTTAGCATCAGTTTTTCTGTGTGTGTTTTGAAAAAAACAGTTGATTTTGCAATATTAGCATAGAAGAGGTTTCCTTGGAGGAAATACTTTTGTAGGAAGACTTTCTCCTAAAACATTGCATTTTGTGACCCTATTAATAATTCACAACAAAAATTAGGAGGTACTTATAAGTGAAATTTCAAATAACTGAAACCAGCTTCCTTTCCAAAAGGCACCATCACCTTGAAAAATAGTCAGGAGAATATTTACATTCCAGTAGTATTAGATACTATGGGTCAAACGCGAAGTACAATTATTATAACTTGAGCCAAGATATATGGCAATAGTGCTTTAGACCTCATTCACTGTCAAAATCATTTAAAACATGGTGTTTCAGCAAATCTATACAGATGTAAAGGCCTTTTATTTTGCTCTTGGCTGGTGGTACAACCAGAAAAATATATACAATCAGTATCTGAAAGAAATTGTCTAGATCATTTCCAAATATTTTAAAAGGAACTTTTTAAAGCACATCATTCCAAATTAATTTTGATAAGGTTGAACCATGAGAATAAACATTAGAAACCACAGGTGGAAAAAGCAAGCTCCTAATCAATAACTGAACATTCAAGACTTGTTTCTTTTTTAAAAAAATGCTCAATTTAAACAGTCATATTGTGAAGCAACTATCAGGCACTTTTAATTTTGACTAAAAGCTGCAAAAAATTATGTAAAAAAAACAAAGCTTAAGAGTTAAGTATGTTTTGATTTTCTTTAGAACGCAATTGTAACATTGGGATTTAGGCAACAAATAAGCAAATTACAGTGAAATTGTTTTCATAGTCTCTCCCCCACCCCCCCCGCCCGCCCCACCCCATCCCCTCCCCCCAAAAAAGCCTCCCAAATCCTGAAATGGACAAAATGTGTTTATAAAAAGTGCCCTATAAACCTTATATTGTAGGCATTTTGCATTATTGGCTGGGCAGTGAATCTCTTCAAAACGATAAAGGTACTTTACCTGTTATTTATTAATCCTAAATAAATAAATACCAGATGATTTCAAAATTGTACCAAAACTGGATATAAGAAAATGGCCTGTGCAAAAATACATATTTAATATGTACAATCAATTTTAACAAAATATGTATTCTGAAATAGGGATATTTCCATACTTTTGTATAATCCATTAAACAAGAAAATTCAAAATAAAGATACAAAAGATTGTGATATACTCTATCTCTTAGTCTGTCATCTATTGAAAGTCGGGGGTAAGAAGACTGCACAAGTTACAACAGGTAACTGTCCCAAAGGAACACGCAAGCTTCGGTAAAAGCTAGTCTTAAAAATATCTACTTGGATGCAAAAGGAATATTGTGCCATTTTATTACAGCAGAAACACCAGTTTTCTTTCCTTTCCATAAATTCTGTGGAAGCCGTTGCAAGGCAAAGGCCTTATTGGTCATCGTCTTAAACTGCTCTATGAGAAAAATTGCATTTGCATTAACAGATGGCTCCTATTACTGTTCCCCTGGCAGTTTCCAACAATGGTTCTACACAAGGATGCTATTTTAGGTGGTAACTAAATTACTTTTGTATTTCCTAAAATTGGTATATATGGAATTAATAAAACGGTCCTCAAAATTCTGCGTTAAGATTGTTTAATGTAACAGAATGTGTTAGTGTTTACTTCATCAAGTTTGTCATACTGGTCACATACTGTTCCTTCTATCGTGAGATTGGGGGAAATGGAACATTTTGAACAAAACAGTAAGTTGGTGTTGACAAATGTTTGCTTCCATCTACTCCCCAAATTAAGAGACCAATAGGGGAAAATGTTGAAAAGTGCCCAAATTTTCAATAAAGTGGTAATTTTTGACATTTCTTTGTGACATTTTCATCTTGTATTCCCTGATTTTACATATATATCCCCTTTAGTCTGTTTGAAGTGAAAATTAATAGTATCCCTTTTTTATAAAATGTGTTCTGGAATAGATGGGATATAATGTATTAGTGCAAAAATACTAGGGACAAAAGATAAGCCAAATAGGAGAGAAAGCAGTGTACGCTAAAATAGTTTCATTTTCTTTTTTTTTCTGCATGGTAAGTGTAAGCTGCAGGTGTCACTGAACTACAGTAGTTGGTACCATATTAATGGTACAATTTTTTCGTACATCCATTTAATCAAACATGATCATGTATAAAGATAAAAAGGTTTGCATCTATACTCCCAAACATGATGCAATTCTCAATTCTTAAACAGAGAGAAGTTGGACTTTACAAATAATTCCTGAAATTATCACTATAAACAATCCAGCAGCTTCTGCTGCACTGGAACTTTGGGTTCTTGCAATTTAAGTTTTAATTTTTTTGTAAAAACTTTGCCAGGACCCCTTCTTCCCTCGAATTTGTGGATTTAGAAGGAAAACAAATCTCAAAATAACTGCCTGCCACAAGTCATCATACTTGGCAACTTTAGTTCAAACAGACACAGTACACGTAAATCTAATGATAAAAATTAAATATTTATGGTTTTGGATACAAATTTCCAGTAGATGTCAAGGGGCTTTGGAACAAAAATGCCCCGTCTTTAAAGAAAGAAGGCTTTCAAACAAATTTATCATTATAATTATACCTATGTTTAAATTCTTTGCAGTTTTGAGTTCAAATCTGCTGCTCTGCAAATGCATCTGTCAGTGGTAAATAGTTTTAAAACTCCACCCCTTGCATAAATCTCATAGATCAGTAGTCATTCTTCTATCAACGTACCCAATATTTAATACTGATTTGAACAGTTACAGTGGCCACAATTCATCCAGACGTCCCATGTCGACTCTTGATTTATCATGTAACTCCGGAGGGTGGCATTTCCATAAACGTGGCTTCAGAAACTGTATACAGCGTTAATTCTACTATACACAGTACTTCCAGACCTGAGGATCAAGGGAAGTTGAGATAACTCCAAGGCCTCTTGCAGTTCAGAGCGCCGGTCTTATTTTTTTTATTATCAAAGGATGTCCAGTTTCTTTCCCCAGAAGCATCGGTTATCAGGGTCTACCCTTTGGCTGCAAAGTGTAAAACAGCTGAATTAACCATTGCATTTACTCGCAACAAATTATGATCTGTCATATGCATTCTACATTAAACAACTCAACCTTGTAATTTTTAATAATTTATGCACTAGCCAACGAGTGGGAAACCAAAATTGCTGCCTTTGTGGGTATCAGGTCCCCACTGATGTCACTCCATATACTCTGTGACAATGACCAGGAAGTCAGCCAATGTTATGAAGCACCAATGGAGTCAGTGTACACAATTTGGATTGTTTTTGGTAAGTATCAGGGCCCACACACCAATCAAGCTATCAGTACAATGAAGCTCATTATAACTAGGTTCCACTGTACCTATTATTGGCTAAATACTCATGGAAGCAATAGACATGTGGGAAAATAGAGAGGAGTACAAAATCTATCCTGGCCCACAAATGAGGTGCTTGATTCCAACATTTCTCTTCAATCAAATAAATTTCAAGTGCTGTGGAAAATCCCACTGGGATTTTTATATGAATAAGTTACACCTGCACTCTGCAGGAAGAAAAAGGGGGAAAAAAAATATTACAAATTTGGTGAATTGCAATTACTGCAATACATGCAATACTGCATTTCCTCCAAACATGTATTCGTTGGAATGCTGAACTCACAAATCTGTTATATGCCCACTGGTAACAAGGTTATACAAAGGCCACAACTTGTCTGATTAACCAGCATTACCTTTTCTTTCAGCACCATTGGTGGTGACCAGTGCTGGTGCTTTGGGAGGGGAAAGATCATGGCATTCATGGGTTAATGCTATTGGGAAATCACAGGCACTTATATCCTGCCTTATATTATACATATATGGCTTCCAGTAGTGGAGTGATGTGGAGAAGGAAGACAAATTTATACTTCCCCCGCTCCTGGGAGCATTGACTTGGAGCCTCGATTCAGCCAAGCTCACGTGCAGAGCTCTGAAATCAAAGTTGCTATTAAAGGTCCGGGTTCGTTAATAACATTTTAAACTTTCCCTTGAAAATTCTTGGCTTCCCATTTGCGCCATCCAAGAGCTTTCAGAGGCGATTGGGGAAGATAGTTGGGATTGATCATATACTGAAGCAGTGTGAATTAAACACCAGTATCAAGAATGCAGCTCCAGCACAATTATGCTGGCTCAATCAAGATTTACACTGCAATGTTGTATTAAATCACCTAAAATACAGTATAAATATAGCATTGATTCTACCTTCTGGAAGATTTGCACCTAATAATGGACAGCTTTTATAGCCTCTAAATTCTTCAAAACACAACCCTTTTTTCCCTTCTGGATATGTTTATCAGCTAACAATCACAGGAAAAATAGTTAGAGATGTGTTTGCCATGTTTAAAATGCAACTTTAAAATGCATCGAGACCAGATAGGAGTTGTAGATGTACAGATTTAAAATTTCAAATGCAAAGGTTTGGAAAGTCACCATTCAGCCAATTTATTTAGGAAAGACCTTGTAGGAATCCAAACATTTGTAAATTATTTAGACAAGGGGGCAGATAAGCTTGATCAATCCAGTCCAGAAATTTATCAGGTGAAGTTTTATGCGAAATTCTTCTATTTGCCAAGTACAGTGTAAATCCGTAAATCTGAAATCTAAGCAACCAGCACGACAAAAGGTTCTCCATAAGCCCTGCAGTTCGCCCTACCTCCTCAATATTTCGTACCTGATGTAGAAGAGAATTGCTGGAAAGTCCCGGTGTTCCTGGGATCATGCTGGCATGTTTTGTGTGAACATTGTTCACCATAGGCGATTTGGCGACCTTGTTCGGTTTGCTACCACTGTTTATGGTGCTTGAACCTGGCGTGCTTTTCCGCTTTTTCCCTTCCGGCTTTTCCAGTGGAGTATGTGGATGTGAAAAGCCACCGTGTGAATTTACAGTCTGGTCGTTTGAGTGATGGACAAACGGTCCCAGCGAAAGAGTTGAGTCACTACTGTTCATCACTACACTCATCCGCTTAATCGATTCTGCAGGGGTCCCCACATGAAGTCCCCTCCCTGATTGGTCGTGTTTGAGACCTAAAGAGTTCATCTTGTTGGTACAGTTATGGCCAACATTATATGCACTGCTGTAAGATGAAGATGAGACAGATGAGTGATAAGAGGTCCCCAGGTTCCCAAAATTCATCACACAGTTTTTCTTCAGAGACTCTGTGGAATGAGCAGAGGATGAATGCAGTGGCAGTGCAGAACTATTTTTTCTTTTCTTTCCAGAACTGCTGCTGTTACTGTTGCTGTTACAATTACTGCTGGTAAGTGAAGGATCTTTAGGTTTAAAAGACTTGCCGGGTTTCATTTTTTGAGGTTTATTAAATACAGGTGAGGGAACTGAAGGAAGCCCAGAAGGCATCGCAGAGGGTGAAGACACGTGTCTAGATTGCATACAATAAGCAGGGTCCATGACGCCCAAGGCAGCAGGGTGAGCATTTAGAGTAGTCCCATACGATAACACGGATTTACTTTCAACGGATGATGTAAATGGAGAAGAAACCAACACTGGAGATGTCATCAGCGTTGATGAAGATGATGATGACATTGATGTCGGGGAAATAAAGCCTGTAGCATTCACACTATAATGTGGCACTGGAGAGGAGTGCATGCCAGCGCTCTGTGGATTTGACTGTGCTGATACAGGGCTGTCTACTGCAGGAGGAATTTTTCTGAAAGTGAGGGAAAGAAAACAGGAAAAAAAACTCATTACAGTCAGGAATTCATTGTTCAATACACCTAGTGTGCTTTCATTAGAAAGAAAATTCAATTTTTAAAATATATAAATTTGTTCATTATCATTCTTAACAGAACACTTAAACACTTATCATGAAAGTCCCATTGACCCTTGTGTCATTGTTAGATTGAAGGGAAAACAAATAGTATATTGAGAGCATTTACAAACCAAAACATCCAGCAAAAAAAGCTGCAATTAAGTTTTCCACGTGTGCTGATTACTATTGATATCCTACTGATGAAATTGGACATCACACTCCACATTTTTCTCCATTGATGAAATCAGATTTCAGATGTCATATTTGTATAATATTCAGTGACTGAGTACAAGTTACAAGGGAAAGGCGTGGAGAAAGAAAGGCGTGCTAGTAGGACAATCCAAATCAGAATCATTTTGGTTTGCATAGTTTCATTTCTTCCCCACATTTACACTTCACTCCTACTAGCTACACAGACTTAATTCCACTCCTTGGTTTGTCCAACACAAAGTCCCGTTGATCAGAAAATAGGCCTGTGTTTCCCATTGTCAGGTTATGTTTCTTACAGGACCCCAGCAATACTGCTACACTTAAACCCTAAAATGCTAAATTTTGCCAAAAAAAATCATTAAAAATCACTAAAAGGCTGGAATGAGGAGACCTTTTTTGTTATAAATACTCACTTCCACATCTGTGAATTAAGATGCTTTTCAACCATGGAGCTAAGTGCACACCGAAAGTGGTCCCATCGCCTGTCAAAGACAAAGCAGCCTCGGCCTATTTGGCGGTTTCCAAAGGTGCAAAACTAAAGCAGAACAAAAATGGGTTAGCGAGGAAAGAAAAGGAAAATAAAGAGTTCTTTAAGATCTGAAGAAACTAACAACATTGGTGCAATAGTCATCACTAAAGAATTACCAGAGTTCTGGTTCAAATCACAGATTTATCACTAGATTTTTAAACAGCATACAACAAGAATAACAACAAATTACACTTGTATAGCGCTCTTCACATCGGAAAGACATCCCAGAGTGCTAGACAGTCAGGGGTTTTTGGACCTGAAGCAGGCTGGTTGGTCAGTATCCGATTGTATAGGACCTTTAGCAAAAAAAACAACCCTGACAAAAAAGTCTTTCAACACATTTAATGTAGTCAATGCACACTGATCAAGTTTTATATTCTATCAACTATTTGCCATACTCACAGCTGCTGGTCGAGGGTGATGTCCAGAATAGCAGCAGTCCAGTTTTTCCGTAGATTCTTCTTTCTCGTCACATTCTCCCTCATCGCTGGACAACCTGGACACTGGCTCTGATGCCAGCAATGAGGGGTGTGAAACTTCATGTACTGGTGTACAGTCAGTAGTGGTGTTGCTACCGCTCTGTGATGAATTTGTGAGCCTTCGCAAATAAGACACAAAACAAAAATATAATTAACAGGCAGAGAGAAAGAAAAAAACACATTTACCACATCAGTAAAAGGTAGTGATAGAAATGTTTCTGATGCCATTAAAAAGGCACCCTGTGCAATCTTGGGTCATCCTGAGCCAACAGAGTCCATTCAGTACAGATGAACTTCACTTTGGGAGCACCTCAGTGATAAGGAGAACTTGCTTCAAAGGCAACTTTTTCAGTCTTTCCCCCTTTCCCACTTATTTTTGTCCACAAAACATAGTCAATTCACTTTACAGTATATTCTTTGAAGCTCTTTGAGACATCTAGATGGCATGATAAGGCGCTATATCAAATGCAACAATCATTATTATTATTGTTTAAAGTGGACTGTGACCAAAATCCCAAACTTACCAGTGAGGGCAAACTCACTGATGAGGACAAAACAAGCCAATGGTCCTTAACAGAATGTTTCCACCTTCCCATAGTTCACAAACAAAAAAAAGACGCATTCCAAAACAACTGGGCTTATTTGACTAATTATTGGCAAACTCTGGGTGCTGTTCCACCACTGTAAACCAAGAATTATTCTACAATGTTTTGGTAAAAGGAGTACAAGAGCCCTTTGACAGTACGTCCGTAGTGCAAGTAGAATATGCAGCAGCAACACTGAATACCAAATATTCAACACTTGACTTCTCATCACAATCATGGCCTTTGACGAGCTGCATCATTCATTGACTATTTATGGTATTCAGCAGCTTACACCACATAATACACAGAATACACCATCCTGGGACAAAAAAAACATACCTGTACCTGCTAAATGGCAGGTGGATGGGATTGTGGTGGGAAAGAGTTAAGTTACAAATCTGCGTTATGAAATAGAATTAAGCAATGAAACGGGATAGCTTTTCTCACTATTAGCAAACATAACAAGTACTATAGCAAATTGTCAACTTTTACCTAGTATTTGAAGAGTATGACTTGTGGCAGACAGCAAGATTCCTGGTTTGAGAACAAGATGCAAATTTCCTAAAATTTACAGTACAGAATTACATATGCTTATTATACTAATGAATATTGCCCATTATAAGCAGAAAATCTTAAATATACATCAACAAAAGTGCTATAAAATGTGTTTTAAATTTGTTTTAAAAAAGCACACCCAAACTGAATCAGGGATTTTAAATAGAGAATTAAAAACATTCCAATGATTATCAGACTGGTCCCTATATGCCACTTGTGTATATAGTATTGAGAATTTTTCATGAGACTCGAATTACAGTTTGCTAGTTGTTTGTACCTAACTTCAGTGTGCATTATTCTTCCCTCCCTGTCTTTTTTNCTTCCCCACACTATGAAATACCTTGTACACATACAAAAATGCTGTAGAAATACAATGCCTAGAGCTCCTGTAATCACTTTCCACAGCCACCATCAATGTTGCATTGTGGCAGACTCCTAAGTATTGGATGAAAAAAATCATTTCCCCATCCCCCCTCCCATGCAGAATCACTTCAACATGCCTCCTATGGAGCATCTAGATGCCTGGATGAAAACAGTCCACAAATGTCATGGATCTTTGGGATCAAAATGAATGGCTTTTGGCTGTAAGTCAACTGTTTGTACTATCCAAGCTGCAATCAGAATCTCTATGTTTGCTGGTTTGGCTCGAAAGAAAACCCACATCCTAAAACAAATCTCTTAAACCTTATGAATGAAAACAAATAAAAACAAAGCATTTAAAAGGGTCAACCTACCTTGGAAGACTAGAGTTGTGAGGTTTGGTTTTGACAGGCACCTGCTGTTTTACATCCGATGTAAGATTTCCATGGGAATTCTGGTGCAATTCCTGGGAAGATTTCGATGGTGAGGGATGCAGTTCCCTGAGAGGGGGTGCCTGCTGATGATGCTCAGAGTTTCGGTACGATTCTTTTTCCCTGGGTTTGTTTTTGTGCTCAGCCAACAAAAGGTCAAAGAGTTTCCTACGACCTGGTACCGCTCTCCGCTGGCTCAAGGAATGTGTCTGCGATTTCCAAAAATAAATGTTCAAATTAAAGCATCGCACAAGTGAATATGTGCTTTCATTGTTCAGTTTTGAAAGCGTACTGCAGTAAACCTCACCAATGCTGCTGAAACATCAAACTCATGACCAATAACCTCCTGCACGAGGCAAATCTCTCGCTGATCTGGAGTGTTGCCGTGTCTTTTATAGGTTTCGGTTGCAGGTCTAATTCCAAAATTTATTTTCTCATGTAATGAGAATCCAATGAATAAAGTAATTTTGTACTCGGGTTAATCTTGATGTGTGTCGAACATTTTTTATTGAACATATACAGTTTGCTCTGGTCTGGTGTAACATGTTCAAGGAACAATCAGCAGGTAGACAGGAAAGAATAAAATCTCTATGCCATCAACACCAGGATTTTAAATTGTGCTATTGTAGAAGGGTGAACTAAACGCAAGAACTACACTGAGGAGATAGATGCTGAAACATCTTCAGCTGAGTGAAGGACAGCTTCAGTGTTTCTGAAGCAGATACATTGCAATGATTCATCCTTTGAGAACAAAGGTGAGATATGGTAGTAGGAAAAGGAGAAAAAACAGACCACAGTAGGGTGGTTATCTAAATGTGGATTGCTGGAGGTGGTGTGGGGGTGAAGAGAAATGGCCTTTACAAAACTTGAGCATATAAAACTCTTTTGGAAGATAACACTGATCTAAGTCAGTATCCCAAAATACTGTGCAACAAACAAACCAGGACGAGTGTTTACTTTCTATGATCTAAGCAACAAGCAGCTGTTTAAACAACAATATCTAAGTGGAAAAACATGCTACAAACTGAAAGTCAATCAGTAACCTACCTTGCATGTCAAAGATCTTGTACATGGTTTTTTAGTTTCAAGGTCAACAACACCACAGTGTCGATTAGGATCAAACTCTCTTTCTATTAACAAAAAAAACAATGTTTGCAAGCATGCCCATTACAGGGTGTATTACACTGCTGTTGACATTCATTTTTAAATAGTTATAGAAAGTACTTTTTTTAAAGAAGAGTAAAACCAATGTGAATCAATTGACAATCAAGAGTTACAATCCAAAAACTAAAATGAATTGCAATTCTGCCCAGGAAATCTATGGATTTTATTTATTTCTCTAGGGTATTCCAAAGAAATAATTCCACATATAAATAACTTTTAATTCAGTGTAATCCCAAAGGGTGGAAATTTCACTTTGCCTTACACATAGTGCCTTTGGCAATGCTGGCTGCAAGCAAGATTGTCCTCATTTTTATTGTGCATTGCCAAAAGCACTACATGCAAGTGTTACAGGAATTTCAGGCACCCGGATACTAATAATGTGGCAAACATACACACAGAAGCCTCAACTCCCTGCTCACCACACTTCCCAACTCTTTCCTCCACCAGCTGCAGACTATTCAGAACTTTGGAGCTTGTGTCCTCTCCCGCACCAGGCCCTGAGAGCCGATCACCCCACTCGGTCTCACTGGCTCCCAGATGGATTGAGTTTAAGATCCTCATCCTCACTTTTCAAGCCCTCCACGGTCTTGCTCCTCCCTACCTCTGCGACCTACTAAAAGCATACCATTCTGCATGCTCCCTCCAGGCCTGCTTCATGTACCCGTCCTGCCCACCAACCATCAATGGTTGGGCCTTTGGTTTTTCAGCCCCCATCCTCTGGAACTCTATCCTAGAGTCCTTCACCTTGCACCCTCCGTTGCCTCCTTCAAGGCCCATCCTCTTTGACACTGCCTTCGGTTATCCTCCTTCAGTCACCTCCACCATCCTTGCCCTCCACCCTCTTGATTCTAACCCCTAGCTAGGATGCAAACCCTCGACCATCCAGCACCTTGGGATGTCCTTCCCACGTGAAAAGCACTACATAAATTGAATTTGTTGTTGTTTCAGCTGCTATCTCAGTCTTGTAATAATATTCAAAATTAATGACTCAGATGCACGATAATGTAACATATACTCAACAGATAGATGACTTGAGAGCCACAGTATACTGAAATATCCTTGTGCAATTGACCAGATTAAAAAGTTATTTAAATTCTGATATCATACGATGGTTTATCAAAATAAAATTATCTCCATTCAAAGATACGTAACACAGAGTAATGAGTTGTTCAGCTATTAAGAGACGTCCTCCCGACGTGAAAAGCACTATATAAATGTAATTTTGTTGTTGTAAGGGTCAAGGTAGTTTCATTCTACTGTAATATAAACACACCTGACAGTCGTTTGTGAGAAGAGGACTTCTTGCTGCTTTTAGTATCTTCAAGTTTCTTTTCTGAGGATGAAGGACTCAACAGAAGACTTTTACCATTTGGTATCTGTCCAAGGGAGGGTGCCTTTGGTATTATAGGACAATTAGCGTCCGGCTTTGATGAAGGATTCACAGTGGTGGAACTAGGAATTGGCGGCATTTTCAATGATGTGCCATCAATCTTCACATTAGGATGCATCTTCTCCGCTTTGACCACTGAAGTCATGCTGTGAACAGAGTACTTCTTTTAAATGGCACAAACTACGCATTTTGATTCGGTTTGGGGATCAAAAGTGTACATTTCAAATGATCAGCAGTTTTACAGACACTTCGGATCAAGGAATGGCCCTGATCATAGAAGTGTAAAAATAAGCCCCATTAAATTAAGATAAATGATCAATGTGCGTTTTTTTTCAAAGTCCAAAGATGTAAAAAAAGATGAGACCAAAGATACATTATCCCATCCATGAAAAGCTTAACTCTACACTTTTCAAGTTCATTCTAAGGGAAATAATGTAAGAACACATTTGCTTTGATAAGTACCGTGCTTTAGGACAGATTCACTCTACCCCACCCAATATTTGGTATAGCCTACATCTAAAAGGATGGGACAGGGAATTTGTTCTCATTGCCTCTGGTTCTTGGCTTGTGTGTGTTTTACTCCTTTTTTTGTGTGAAGATGCCTGACCCCATTCAGTGCCTCCAAAAGAGGAGAAGCTCAGTTCAGGAACCTTTGGGAACGGATTTACAAACCATTGACTTCAATCGTTGTTTCTGCTGATAGATGTTCAATATCTAGCTCCTAAAAATTATTAAGGTTAATGAGGTGAACGTGATTTGGCTGAAGCATTTTCTGCTACTAAATGAAACATACATTTCTAAATATTGTGCAAGATAAACCTACTAAAGTTACCTGTAGAATCTCTGCATGAAGCCAAGCTTTCAGTGCAGGTATTTCACGGATTAGAAAATATTAATTACTCATTGGCTAAACAAGCTCTCAAATCACACCAATGCATGAACACGAGCCATTGATCTGTCAAAGTCTCAATACTCAATCCTCTGGAACGCCATCCTACATTCCCTTTGCCTTGCTCCCTCCCTTGCTTCCTTCAAGGCAATCTCAAGACCCTCCTCTTCAACTGTGCCTTCAACCACCCTTTCTGCCTTCAACCCTTCCTGATCCCAACCCCCCCACCACACCGCTCGGGTCCTAATCCCTGACTGTTCATCGCCTTGTGACGTCCTCCTGATGTAATTTTGCAACGTCCTCCAAATGTAATTTTGTATTGTACTGCTACGATTTGTATTGCAGTTGTAATTTTTTTTAAAAAAGCTTGCTTTAGCATTTGGCAAATACAATGTTTCAGATAGCTGAATAAACTGATTATCTCAAATAGTTATTAACAAAAAGCTTAACAGAAATACAAATCGCAACCTGCTGCGGTATTTAATTTAGCCAAATCTAATCAGCAAAGCTAAATGGGATCAGTGCACCTTAGGAAATGAAAGTACTCATGTTTGGAAAAGAAGAAAAGCAAGAAAATACAGTCAGGAGAAAGATAATTAACCACTTGACTTCCTCAAAACACGGGATTAAAAGTAACTAGTTTGATATTCAAATAATTCAGATACTGAATGTTCAGATGAGTGCCAGGATCATTGTACTGGAAGTGTGGTAGTCCAAGGTATTGTCAATGCAGTTTTGATTCCTTGGCTATCTAAAACTCGTGTAAATTAAAAGTCAAGGTTACATTATCTGTGAAAATTACAGTGCTCAAAATCAGAGTGCGCTGGGAAAATAACACAATGGAAATGTTTCATGAGACATAATACAGCAACCAAAAATAGAAGCATGCACTAACTTTTTATCATGGTGCATCTTGCCATGGTGAATCGGGTGAAGTGGTCTGTTCATACCACTGGCACTGATGTGTAGTTTATCTTTGGGGGGTTTCTGTATTTTAGAGTTGGAAGAAGCACTATTTCCACTAGAGGAGCGACTGCTTCCACAATCACTGCCGCTTTTGTTTTTCAAGACTGTCGAAGGAAAAGAGTACGAAGAAGTTGATGGAGGAGTCAAAGGTGGCTTGCTCGATGAGCTGTGTCTTCTTTCTGTGTAAAGAAAACAAAAACAGATTCAATTTTCAGCATTTAGCCAAGAATGGAGCAAGATCAGCTAGGATTCTTTCATGGCTTCTTTATTTTTATTTGTGAAAATTGGTTAACGTTGGCTCTGAAATGAGACTTCCCAAATGTGCTGAGAATTTAATATCTACAGGTAATGCTAAAGAATTTTAATGACCAACACGTTGTAACAAACAAGAGCTTCTATAACCAATTATATCTAAGTCGAGCTACGTATTGCCCATACTGTATGGTACATTTCCAATTCAATCAATCTCATTCTTCTTCAGAATACATTATTCAGGATACCCGTTTGCTGAGTATGGTTAAAACTGATTCAGAACATTTCCTCTGAAGATGACCACAATGCCCTTCCAAACTGGAATAAATATACAAAAGCTTATACAAAAGGCTTTGCTCCAATTTGGTATACGACATTCAAAATAGAGACTGCAAGTAGTTTGTGCATCCCAATGCTAAAGTAACTTAGAATTCTTGTGGTTCTAGTTTGCAGACTAGTCACTGTGTAGGACAAACTAAAGCAACGACTAGCAAAAGGCTTGGCTGTCAAAACTGGCATTTTATGCAAACCGGTTGCAAAATGACAAATAGTGGATTCATTGGACTGCCTTTCTCAAGTTCTATGGACCAAAAAAAATGTGTGCGATCTTGGGGGTGCAAAAAGCAAAATAATTATGCTTAGCTGTATAAAAGACTGATAATTTGATTCAAATTAAAGTAAAAGGGCTCAATAGGAATCGAAGAAGGAAACATGGTACTGCATTTCTGTTGATTGATGCAATGCATTAACTACATTATCTAGGCATTATTTGTAAATTGACCTGTAACTGCATTTCTAAATGAGATCATTTTAGAAGTTAGTTCAGTACCCATTAATTATCCATGTCAGCAGAACTGAACTACATCCAAGACATTAAAAATAGTGTGTTCTGCAAAGAACAGGAAATTTCTATTAAAAAGTGAACAGCAGGAATTCACAGCAGCCAGAATCTTCTCACCAGCGCGATGTTATCCTGGACACAGAATATGATGAATGGTTATTTAATCTGATGACAGTGGATAGTTTCAGTTTTGTTTATAATGTAAGCATTTCTAAAGCACATTTTTGCATATTTTAATATTAGCAAATTTCAGAAGTGCACAAACTAGGTGCACACTTATGTGGTTGCTGAGACATAGATCTAATCAACTCGGTTTGCCAGTACTTATTCAATTTATTTTTCAAATGTCATTAGAATCTGAGCTTTACTGTACCAGAGCAGAGTTCAGGTTACCGGAGACAGAAACAAAAGGGGAACAGGCACGTTTAGTTTTTAAATAATTAATGAAAAAGAAATATCAAAGTTAAAACAAAACAATAATTAGAGGGAAGAAGGGAGGATGAAAAGTCACGGAGTGCTTCTAGTGACATTCATGGTATTTGTTCTCACTCCACACTTGATTTGGGACCAGAAAGGTACTTCTCTGCCAAGTTGAATCCACTGAAAATAATCAAGCTATGCCATTTTTTCCAGTCATGGTGAGCAAATGTAGTATTTGTTGGAGCCACCACACTACGAGCTCTGGAAGAAAGTACAGATCATAAAGAGAGCTGGCAAAATTTGTTAGATGGATCTAATGTCTCAGCTGCACGGTTTGGCACGCTTCTGAAATTTGCTAATATAAAAATATACAAAAGTGTGTTTCGGAAGTGCTTACATTACAAAAAACAAACTATCCAGGATCATCAGATTAAATAAGCATTCTTCATTGCTGTGTCCAGGATAACATTGTGCTGCCGAGAAAATTCTTGAAATAATCTGTCGCATTTTGCACAAATTTTAAAACTGAAAGCCAATGGGTAATTCACCAAACCCGGTCTAATTTAGATCACACGGGATCAATATTCTAGCTGGAATCATTTTTTTCACACACAAATGACGTTGCGGAAAAACAAAGCTGGGGGGAGACAAGTATCACACCAGAACAAACACAAGGAGCAGAAAGAACACCTGACCACACGGGGCGTGGTATACATTTCTTAAAGGGACAGTGCCCCATCGTTTCTACTACATCCTGTTTACACGTTGAGATTTCCGGGCAGGGCATTTTTCCCTGGCAAATTAGGCAAGTTTCCTTAGTCTACATGCCTCTTTATTTAGCAGTAATCCTGTTAGTAGATCGATGGATCACTTTACCGGGGATAATAATCCCTTCAAAAAAATTAAAATATTAAAAAATAAATTTGGTTATTCAATCCACAACTGTGGACACAGTTGTGCACAATTGGCTGCCTTGTTTCACCCACAAAATACAGTCAATTCACTTTACAGTATATTCTATTAAGCACCTTCGGATGTTTCAAAGACTCTATATCAAATGTAAGGATTATTATAAATGAATAAGGAAAAGTGTTGGTTATACAATTCCACCCTCTACTATCATCATAAATAATATACTGAGCGTAAACAAGGGGATTAAAAACTACCAACAACAACAAAATTACATATGTAAAGTGCCGTTCACATCGGGAGAACGTCCCAAGGCGCTGGACAGACAGAGTTACGGACCCGAGCTGGGGGTCGGGATCAGGGGCTCGGGGCAGGGGGGAAGCAGGGAGATCGAAAGCACGGTCGAAAAGGAGGGTCTTGAGATGGGTCTTGAAGGTGGCGAGACAGAGGGATGCGGGATGGAGTTCCAGAGGTTGGGGGCAGAGTGGCGGAGTGGGGCGAACGAGGGAGGGGGCGTGAAGCAGATCGGAGCCTGCTGAGCAGAGGGAGCGAACAGGGTGGTAGAGGATTAGAAGGTCGCAGGGATAGGGTGAAGCAAGACGATGGAGGGCTTTGAAGGTGAGGACCAGTAACTTGAACTGTATCCTCTGTGCGATGGGACGCCAGTGGAGTTGGGCAAGGATGGGGGTGATAGGGTCGCGGAATCTAGCGCGGCAGAAGACACAGGCTGCTGTGATGAACTGCAGCCTGTGGAGGGAGAAGTTGGGGAGGCTGACAGGCAATGAGTTTGCATAGTCGGGCCTCGATGTAACGAAGGCGTGTATGAGGGTTTCGGCAGACTGCGGTGTGAGACAGTGTCGAAGCCAGGCAACGTTGCGTAGGTGGGGGAAGGCAGAGCGGGTCATGACGCAGATGTTGGGTAGAAAGGATAGTTGAGGGTCAAACAAGACCCCAAGGTTCCGAACTGGCTTAGCAAGGTGGAGTGTGCACCATGGATGGTGATGGTGTCAGCACCTGAGGTGAGGAGGCGCTGACGGGAGCCAATCAGGAGAGGCTTAGGCTTGTCGACGTTCAACTGAAGAAAGTTAGCTCTCATCCAGGACTTGATGTCCTACAGACATTCAGTCAGGACAGCAGCGGTCCTAGAGTCAAGGGTGGAGGCAGAGAGGTAGAGTTGGGTGTCATCCGCATACATGTGGAAGTTGATCCCATGTCTGCGGATGATGTCACCAAGAGGGAGCATATAGATATTGAAGAGGAGGGGACCAAGGACAGAGCCCTGAGGAACACGGCACAAGACGGTGCGGGGGCTAGAGGAGAAGCCGTTTGTGGAGATGAAGTGGAGGTGGTGTGCGAGGCACGATCTGAACCAATCAAGGACGGAGCTGTGAAGGTTGAGGTGAGAGGAGAGGCGATGGATGAGGATAGAGTGATTGATGGTGTCGAAAGCACCAGAGAGGTCAAGGAGGATGCGGAGGCAGAGGGAGCCCTGGTCGCAGATGGACAGAATGTCATTTGTCACTTTGCCCAACGCTGTTTCTGTGCTATGGGCGGCACGGAAACCTGATTGGAGGGGTTCGAGAAGGGATTGGCGAGAGAGGAAGGAGCAAAGCTGAGAAGCAACACCTCGTTTCAGGACCTTGGAGAGGAAAGGGAGGTTGGAGATGGGGCGGTATCTGTGGAGTAGAGAAGGGTCCAAACTGATAAATGCACCTCCTCTCCTCCCTCAACCACATTCCCACCCTCCATGCCAGTCCTCCCACCCTCCCTCAAGTGACAAATGGCATTCTATCCACCTGTGACCAGGGCTCCCCCGTCTCCTTGTCCTACTCGACTTCTCTGCTTCCTTTGAAACTTTTGAACACTCTATCCTCCTCCACCGCTTCTCCTCTCACCTCAACCTTCACGAGTCTGTCCTTGAGTAGTTCAGATCCTATCTCTCACAGTCTCCACTTTGTCTCCACAAATGGCTTCTCCTCCAGTTCCTGCACTATCTTGTGCAGTGTTCCTCAGGGCTCTGTCCTCGGTCCTCTTGACTTCAACCTGTACATGCTCCCTCTTGGTGACATCATCTGCAGACATGGGGTCAACTTCCACATGTATGCGGATGACACCCAACTCTATCTTTCTCATCCACCCTCAACTCCAGGACTACTTCTGCCCTGACAGAATGTCTGTGAGACATCAAGTCCTGCATGAGAGCTAACGTTCTACAGTTGAACGGCAACATGACCAAGGCTTTCCTGATTGGCTCCCGTCAGCGCCTCCACACCTCAGGCACTAGCAGCATCACCATCCATGGATGCACACTCCACCACACTGAGCCAGTCCAGAACCGAGGCATATTGTCTGACCCTTATTATAATAATAATCCATGCATTTGATATAGCGCTTTTCACATCTTCGACACGTCTCAACTGTCCTTTCTAGTCCAAATCCATGCCAAGACCCACTCTGCTTTCCCCTACTTCCACAACATCGCCCGGCTCTGCCACTGCCTTAACCCTCAGGCCGCCGAAACCCTCATTTACACGTTCATCACATCTAGGTTCGACTATGCCAACTCCCTGTTTGTCAGCCTTCCCAATTCTTCTCTCCACAAGCTGGGATCATCCAGAACTCTGCAGCTCATGTCCTCTCCCGCACCAGGCTCCATGACCCCATCACCCCACCAGACTCCACTGTCTCCCCATCCCCCAGAGGATAAGAGTTCGAAATCCTCATCCTCGCCTTCAAGGCCCTCAACGTCTTGCCATC